TGATCGTTACCATGGCATTCCAAGACGTTGTCCAGACAGACCTTGCAGTAGGTGTGAGAACAAGACAGGATCTTGGGATTGGTGAAGGTATTCAGACATACAGGACACTCCAGACTCTGACCAATGACGTTCTTTAATGCATCAGCCATGATTCGAATTCTACAGGAATTAATACGAGATAAAAGAAAAGGAAACAACACAGTAGTTAATGTAGGTTTAATTCATCTGTCGGTATTAAAGAGGGGGCGAAATGCGAGGGACGAGGGAGCAGTGGCGTATTGAGCAAAAACATTGGCGGGGGGTGGGGGAAAAGAAAAAATCCGCATCACCCCCCACTTTTACATGTTTACATGCAGGCCTCGCGGAACGTTTATCAAAGTGGAGGGGAGGGGCTAACATATTTACGATCAGATAGAGCAAAGCGAGCGAAGCAAGTGAAGCGTAAATTGGCGGGGATCAAGGGGTGGAGCCCCATGGAGCTGATGGGTTTTGGGCATTTAATTACGGTTAGATTAGCATAACTTTGATACCATATTTGTGACACTGGCATGCAGGTGACTAATTGGAGTGAGGTCCAGGGGGCGGAGCCCCCAGAAGCTCAGGGGTTTTGAGGCATTTAATTACGGTCAGATGAGCAACCATGGGCCGGCCTTAGGGCCCTTGGTGGATCCAGGGGGCAGAGTACACGGAAGCCCAGGAAAAAACATGCCATTTCAGCAACATTTCTAAATCACTGGTATCGAATTAGAAATAAACCACGTTTGATTTGTATTGGGGGGGGGGGCCGCCCCCCCCCCCACTCAGTGTTATTTAGGGTACGCATATGCGTGTTCCAAGCGACCCCCCCCCCCCTTTCAGAAAAAGTCCGGTGTGTAAAGTCAATACGGGTCGAACTTTTTCTTTTGTTATACGAGCCTTTTTCAGCACCCCCCCCCCCCCCCTTTCAGCAAAAGTCCGGTGTGTAAAGTCAATACGGGTCGACCTTTTTCTTTTGTTACGAAAAGGACATTTTGGTAACACGCATGGGGTCCATCCGTTCTCGGAGTGGGGGGGGGGGGGGAACTGCCCCCAAGCCTCCCCCATCAGTACGCCAGTGCGAGGGAGCATAGTGAACGAGAGGGGTGAAGGTGACGGAAGTGATTTCCCTCTCACAGGTTTTCGAAGTTTTGTTGTATTAAAAAATTACATTCCTTAGCAAAACTATAGTATAAAAACGAGCAATTTACTTTTTTTCACTGTCAGACGCTATTGGGTGACTGACTGTCCCTTTTTCCTCTTTGGTAATAACATACATACAATGAGCTGTAGAGGGTACATGAGCATTTGTCTACATCAATAACCCACTTCTTGTGATGGCCAAAATTAAACTGATTGAATCTTTGCACAGCATAAAACGTATGACCATTCGGTACAATGGTCTGAAAATCAAGACTATTACTTTTTGGCTCTATAGCTCCTAAGTCGATTTTACAACCAATAGTCGTTATTTTCCCACTTGAAGACATTTTCAAGCCCCAACTTTTTTAGGGAAGTTCTAAATTAGTATTATCTTTCAAATATCGTTGGAATTTAACCTTTTCATTTGTTTGGCCTGCAAATGGGACATAGTACCTTTAAAGCTTAGACATCAGAAAAAATGTTGGTAATAAAATGTAAGCGGAAATCCCTGGAAATCCAACATTTCCTCTGGATTTATAAAAAATAAATCCCCCAAAATGAGTTTTGGCGCACTTTGGTTCCTCCCTGGCCCACTGTGCGTCGTCGCCCCCACAAATACAAAAAAACTAAGAAAATGCTAAAAAATTATCAATAAATTATTGCATTTTCCCCCGGTCCCCAACAGGATAAATTCCTCTGTAGGGCCATGCATTATGGTTCAAGGTGATTTTCTTCCCTTATCTCGTTCAACCTTTTTTATAACGTCATTCTTCGAAACTCCACCACATCTATTATATCCTCTAATCTATCTCTCAAGCTCTCCTTTTTCTCCTTCTCTGACTTCAGCTTGTCCTCGGGGGTAATTTTCCGGGAAGTGATTGTCTAGAGGGTATTTGTCCTGATACGCACTTCAAGTACACCACCACATTTCAACATCCAAAACAACTTTAGCTTACCTTTACTATCCGAACCACAGATGAAAAGGTTCTACACCGGTATTTCAGTGTTCAAGAGTTTGTTTATTGTCTTCCCCAAAACTGAGACCCAGGGATAGTGCCGTATTTAAACAATTAAGATGAAAAGAACTCGTGGTTAACATTGAGCATATCGTTCGACCTTATCCGGTATAGAAGTTCACAAGCTCAACCAGGCGGGTTTAACTGGTATGATATCAAGAAATCTGTCCTCCTTGCATGCTCGAGACGTAATCTTTACGAATATGAGCATTTAAGACCTAGTACACAATGGAGGAATGAAGGTGGTGGAAGTAAGGTTCATAGTCTGAAGTCTGAGTGTCCGAATCTTTGATGATACCAAACTACTGTTGATTAGTAAGTCAACAACGGCGGATCAAGCAATTGTAGCTTTTGAATTTTAACGAGTGTGTGCGAGTACTTGAACTCTTAATGTAAATATTCTGTAAAAGTCAACTTTTTATTCCACTTAACATATTATAAAAGCCTATGTAATTAACAAAAGTTAGTTGTGTACGTGTGTACTACATGGGGGTGACAAAATAACATGACAATTTGCTAAACTATTGCTAGCCTGAAGCAAAGTTCAATAAACTAACAAAACCACATAAAGTCAGATGATACACTGTCTTGCTCTTTGTTCATGCCATATTTTTGAGAGCCAGAAGGGCATTACTTCGATGTAAAATGATATGAGTTAACGACCTTCTGGCTTCAACAGAAGATTTATTGATCGCTTTTTGTTTTTTGTTTTTATTTCACATTGTCAGCTTTGACATACATGTAGAAAGTACGTTAGAAACGAAAGTTCGAATATGTTGTGTCTTATCTTGTGCTTCAATGAGAAACTAAAAATCAGCAAAACATTATTCTGAATGCCTAACTTTTCAACCAAGGAAAGGATTGAGATACATATTAGTTTGACAAGTTATTGTTTGTGAGGAAAACATCTGATGCCTCAAATCTCAAATTACATTCTTATTAGTGAAAAAACATTCCAACTAGTACACCAGTCATGAACTTTACACGACTGTTCATAATCTTATAATCATTATTGAAACAGGGACAAGTGTAAAGATTGGACGTAGGTTTTACCAAAAGAGTAGGCCAACTATTTTAACCAATTTTGTTTCGGTATATTTCTTACACAATACCATGTACACAGATCATTAATATTAATAAATAATCACAACAGTAATCGCGTAGCATATGACTGTCGAGTGAGTTTCCAGTTACTATTTATTGGTTTATAATTATCAGCAGAATAACGTACATTAATTAGAACATTGAAGGTCAATGTGCGTAAAGTACCAAATGCAAATAAATTATTTCATTAAACAGTTTTATATTAACTTTAATTAAGTATTATGATGTTTGAATTATTGACATAAGTTATGTTAGCGATAATCTGCAGAGGAATATGGATAGTGGTAAATTAACAGGGATGGTATTTTAGATATACGGAAGGCCTTTGATTCCGTTGACCATTGCCAGATGCACGAGAGGTTATACACAGATGGTGTACTTGGTAACACACTATCGTGGTTTGAATCGTACTTAAAAGGTCGTTATCAGTGCGTGCACACAGTGCAAAGGGCAACATTTGAATTACAGGTCTACAGTCAGGAGTACCTCAAGGTTCGATACTCGGACCCCTATTGTTCACCCACTTTATGCATGATCTGCCCGATAGCGTTGAACATATTAAGGTGACGTTGTATGCCGATGATACGGCGATTGTGTCCAGAGCCCAAAGGACATAGAGAGTACATTGAATAGTGATCTAGACAGGGTTAAATCAAATTCTTACTTCTAGGGAAACCCAAAAGACTACGACATATTGAGGCACCAATCGACATAAAGAAAGATGGTCTGCAAATTAGACATGTAGAAAATTGTGAAATATCTTGGGATGTGGTTGGACCAGCACCTTATTCTGGAATGAACACATTAAGCATACTTCCAATAAAATTGCTTCAAGGTTGGCACTATTGAGACGTGTCGGAAAATATATAACGATAGACAGTGCCAAGTTATTAGCAAAAGTCTCACCTTCCTAGTATTACCATGTTTGACTGTTGTTGCACCTCATGGTCAAATTGTAATCAATGTCTTCGGGATACACTGATTGAGATGCATAAACATATGGCTAGGAAAGTTCTCCAAATCAATTTTCCTACCCCAGGTTCAAAGATTTTCTCAAAACTCAAGTGGATAAACATGGAAAAACATTGGCAATTCCAGAAATGTAAACTTATGTTCGATATTATGAACGGTAATTGCCCCTCATATCTTCAAGATAATGTAACAGTCTGCAACAACACATCGTTATAGAAATAGAATATCTTATACTCGTGGATTAGTCATCCCAAAAGTTAAAACTAAAAATGGAAGAAGGGCCTTTTCTCTTAAAGGTGCAATTATCTGGAACAATTATCTACTTAGTTGAGTACGAAATGCCCAAACGAAGCAGAAGTTGCACAAGTTATTTGAGAAAAATGTAAGCAATCCCAAAACATATAGTGAAAGCAAATATGGAGTCTGTCACAAACTTGAATATATAGTGCTTACCAATTACAGATTACTGTGTCTCTCACAATTATCCTACAAGTTACAAATTATGTATACTTATGATTCGACACACTGTTACTACGATAAAAGGAATTATTTTCAAAATTTGTTTATGTTTGATTTTTTCTTGATTTTGTTTTACTTACTGAGTTTACATTTATTGAACTACTGATGGGCTACCCCGTTGAAATAAAACGAAATGAATCAAATAATAAATACAATTATGAATTTGTGCCAAGTAGAATGGATGATAAATCGTGTTGCTCTCTTTAAAACAATGTTGCGTAATATGAATGTTCAAATGGTAGTTTGAAATCCTGCAACTGCAAACTCGTATGAGGGTGCCGCTATTGATTCTCTAGCATTAATCGATGTTTCTGAACCTCTAGGGTCATTGTATGAAACGTCAAACGTAGGCGCCAATGCATGAATGTAGGATGGGGGTGCAGCCTCCTTTTTCACGTCATGGTCATCGCTATGGATCGACGGCGACTGCGTTGTCTCGAACTCTCTACGCGGATGATCGTCCACTGCATGAATGTAGGATGGGGGAGGAGCCTCCGAAATCACATCATCACTATAGGTCGACGGCGACTGCGTTGTCCCGAACTCTCTGCGCGGATAATCGTCCGTTTCTGATGACGTCGAACCTCTTCGAAATATGGTCTGGGCTAGGGGAGCTCGATTGGTTGGTTCAGGAGCAGTAGGTTGGCTAGAGCAGGGAGAGGATGTTCGCGTCGTCCGCCTCTGGTACCATTTGCGGATAGTTTCAATACATATTGAGCATGGTTTCAACACTACGCGTATGCAGCCTACGCAGGAGTTTTTAGGGCTTTTCATGCAGTCCTTCATGATCGGGTATAGGCAGCTTTCCCGCCTGCCTTGGAAGAAAACTATCAAAAGGAGTATGGCTGCCACGATGAACCATATGAGGATTTTGTTTACATCGCTGATACCCGAGGAGTCGCCCTTTCGGCCATGAAGGGCAGTCCAGTATCTCCCTCCAGATCCGTCTAAGAGTTAATTTAAAACAGAATACATGGATTTGTAGCAAAATAAACCTAGACAGAGGGACGACGCATGATCCGACACAATATCCTGCACAATAAATTCTCAATTTCAACCCCGAACCAAACACTATAACTAACCCTAACCTTATCCCTGTTTATTTGATAAGATAAATCAGTGTGCATTTCGTTGCCTGAGCATAATATGTCGGAGCACCAGGCATAGAGGTAGAGATGAAGTGAAAGCGGGCCAAACTGGAGTGAGAGAGGGGGCAGAGAGAGAGAGAGAGAAAGAGAGGCGGAAAGGCAGAGAGAGAGAGAGACAGAGAGAGATAGAGAGAGAGAGAGAGAGGGGGAAAAAAGAGAGGCGAAAGGGGACACAGAAAGGAGAGAGGGAGAGAGAGAGAGAGAGAGGCAGAGCGAGAGAGGCAGAGCGAGAGAGAGAGAGAGGCGAAAAGGGGACACAGAAAGGAGAGATATAGAGGGAGAGAGATAGAGAGAGACAGAGAGGAAGATAGGCAGAGAGGGAGGCAGAGAGGAGAGAGATAGAGACAGAGAGGAGAGAGAGAGAAAGAGAGAGAAGAGGGAACAGATGAAGATAGGGAGTAATGGAAAGGTGGGTTATAATGATGTAAATTTTCCATCTTAATGGGATTTTTTCCTTCTTTTTATGCCCGATGTCGTCAAAAATAAATTAATTCGTACTCCTTATAGATGCTACTTTGCAACCAATTCGAGTAGGAGATTATGATACTTCGTTTTCCTTACCTTTTCCTTATAGGATATTTTGTGTTGGTTATGATGTTTTGTATTTCTTATTCTGAACGACAACGATAATTTATCAAGATACATATATCTGAACGTCAAAGGTTGCGGTTCACTTTACAGATGCCCACAGGAAATAGTAATAATATAAAAATAATAATGATTTTGGCCAAATGTGATACTAACCTTGAGTTTTCTTGCATATAAAGTTGTTCTGTTCTTGTTCACAATTTGAATCAGACCATGCTCCGTTTTTATCCAGTTCAAGAGTGTAACATCGTAACTCATTTATCGTCGGGTATCTGAAACTATACAAGTATAATAATAATAATAATGATGATAAACAAAATAAAGATAATGATAATGATAAAAAAGACCTTGTGCCAGATTAGCCCTGTGCTAAACAAAATTATCCAATAAATTCTACTACTACTAATAAAGATAACAAAGATAATAATAATCTTAATAATATTACCTTGATACTACTATTACTACTACTACTACTACTACTACTACTACTACTACTACTACTACTACTACTTAAACCGCTACTGTTTAAACCTATAAACCACAACTTACTTGTTGTAATGAAGAGAACTGGAACCATCAAGCCAACGCCTGCTGGAGTTCATTCCTATCCATGCTAAAGATGTCTCATTTCCAAAAGATTCTGAACAAAAGATAAACAATAATAATAATTATTATAATAGTGGACTGATGTTTGGCATATTGCCTCTCCTGGTGCTCAATTATAATTACCCCGGCTTTAGCAATGAACTAGACACGTCTCATCCACATCCACACCTCCATTAAAACAGCTCAGTAACACCAGAGATACATGTACATTGCTAGTATAGGGTATTTATATTTCTCTCTTAAAGAGTGTATTAAGTTTTGTCGGGTATTGTATGCTCCTGTTTTTCCTTCTCCTCCCCTCCTCCTCCTCCTCCACCACCACCACCTCCTCCTCCTCCCCTCCAGCTCCTCCTCCTCCTCAACCTCCACCTCCTTCTCCTCCACCTTCTCCTCCTCCCCTCAACCTCCTCCTCAACCTCCACCTCCTCCTCCTTCTACTACTACTACAACTACTACTACTACTGCTGCTGCTGCTGCTGCTGCTACTACTACTACTGCTACTACTACTACTACTGCTACTATACTACTACTACTACTGCTGCTGCTGCTACTACTAGTACTACTACTACTACTACAACTACTACTACTACTACTACTACTACTACTACTGCTACTACTACAACTACTACTACTACTACTACTACTACTACTGCTGCTGCTGCTACTACTACTGCTGCTACTACTACTACAACTACTACTACTACTACTACTACTACTACTACTACTACCCCGTGACTATTACTGGCTGCTAACTTACTGGTAATACATCATTCGTGCTATACCAGCAGAACAGTTGAATATTATCTCACCTAGAAGGAAGTCATTCTCTTCTCGATCAACTATGGATGTCAGGAACCCTCCATCATACCCGCATCGTGATGCTGCTTGTTGCCATGGTACTGGTTCGTGGTAGAGTTTGTAGCAGAAACCACGTCTGCTAACCCAACCGCCGGGACAGAACACTTTTGAATCTGTTTAGAAAGAAGGAACTAAAAACTACTCCTGCTACTGATAATAATAATGATCAAGATCACCATCATTATCATCATCATCATCATCATAAATGATAATAATATTGGTTGGTTTCATTCAACGACTTTACAAGCTAGGGTCCCCCTCAGAAATTTTCAGATGTTCAAACGTTCTTCTACAATTTTAACTACATGATGATGATGATGATGAACAGCATTTGTATGACGTCATTATGATGTGATTAATCGATCCTCGATGCTTCTCCCCCATGATATTGTGTTCTTTAAAAAAAAAAGTAGTCGAGTTATACCCAAATCGCATACCAAAGTAGACGAACTGCAAAGAGTATTCCGATCCAGTCATGTCTCCATCATTGATAAACTCCACATAGAGAGTGGGTCCACTGCTGGTTATTGTAGTCGGGTTAATTAGTTCTCCGCCACTGCATAATGCAACAATAGATCTGGCAGCGGAATCGGAACCTAGAGTAGAAAACAAGATAGGGATGGGGAGAGATGGTAGGGAGAGAGAGAGAGAGAGAAGTCAAGGTGTTTTTAAATTATTTATGTTCCTAATTTCAAGACCAAGTACACTTTTGGTTAACCCCCAACAAAACTTTTCTTCAAAATTCTTTAATCTTAGCTATTTGATAAGTAGTAAGTAAGCAAGTTATTAGTATCAATACTCTGCTGTGAAGTTATATATTCTTCTCATATCAAACAAACGAGAGGTGAAAAATGCTAACGATATCAACTTGTACCAGACACGTGTAAAACCTCTATACAGTGCGTCCCAGAAAAAACGAAACCGAGAATCTTTGTTCATGGCTGATCGTCAACGAAACGGAGTTAAGTCTTTTGTCAACTCTGTTTGTTGCTACGCCAGGCAGCCAGTGAAAACGAACTCGTTTATTATGGAAATGCAAGTACTACTTTAAACAAACAGAACTTTGTTATTCCTGGCTCGATTTTCCTGATTGAGGTGTCATATGAAAGGGAACTTTCTAGAAATGTGATTTTCTCCTTGAAATTCAGATACCGCCCGCCAAATAACTTGTTGGTTTCCTCTTTTCAAATTGTTTTTAATCACTCATGCGTGAAATGTGCATCATATGAGTTACATCAAATGAAAGAGGAGGATCTAAGCTTTACAAATACTTGTCATTTATTAATTATAAATGTGATTAAGTAATGATAAATCATCGATAATTTTTGGTTTCGTTTTTTCTTGGACGCAGGCGCGGATCCAGGATTTCTTAGGGGAGGGGGCCCAACTTTTTTTTTTTTTTGCTCCCGAAAATTTGAAAATCGCGCCGGCCGAAAAGTCGCTCAGTGGGGGGGGGGGGGGGGGGGGGGGGGGGGGGGGGGGGGGGGGGGGGGGGGGGGGGGGGGGGGGGGGGGGGGGGGGGGGGGGGGGGGGGGGGGGGGGGGGGTACAGAGCACAATTTTTTTTTTTTTTTTTTTTTTTTTTTTTTTTTGCTCCCGAAAATTTGAAAATCGCGCCGGCCGAAAAGTCGCTCAGTGGGGGGGGGGGGGGGTGGGGGGGGGGGGGGGGGGGGGGGGGGGGGGGGGGGGGGGGGGGGGGGGGGGGGGGGGGGGGGGGGGGGGGGGGGGGGGGGGGGGGGGGGGGGGGTGGGGGGGGGGGGGGGGGGGGGGGGGGGGGGGGGGGGGGGGGGGGGGGGGGGGGGGGGGTAGTGAACACATTTTTTTTTTTTGATCCTCAAAAAAAATTCGATTTGCACCCCCCCCCCTTGAGCGCCAGGGGGGGGGGCCCAACCCCCAAAAAAGGTAAAAATCACGTGATTTTACATGATTTTTTTCTCAAGGGGGGGGCCCGGGCCCCCCGGGCCCCCCCCTGGATCCGCCACTGCTTGGACGCACTGTATAGTTGTCAGCTGTGTGTGATTTCTTGATTATTATTACAAATATTTCGCATCTAAAGCCTTTTGAAACACCATTTATTGTATGCTTTAACCTGAAGGATAATTAATTTTCATCATTTCCTTCCTATTCTTATAGCAGTATTTAATCTTTTTCCCCTTCAGGTAGCGCATTGGACACGTACCTAGCTTTCTGCCCCCCCCCCCCCCATTTAGATTAGCATCTGAGACTGTTTAATTGTTCAAATAATCATTATATTTTACGATTGTGAACATGATCTTTCCAAGCTATAGGACTTTCTTATCATTTCATCTTTTACAAATATTGTTCCACTATTTATTACAAAAATGCATTACGATTTTCACTTCAACATGTGGTATTACCACATTTTAATGGTCCAGACATGCATTAAATCATTCTTACAATCTAATTCCTCTTTGAAACGTAATCATATAAATATAGAGAGAGAGACTGGTTACCGTCTTTTATCAATAAATAGTCACTGTCGCAACAACATTCTAAATCAACATGCACCACTCGGACTTGAATAAGCCACGTGCGTTCTGCATCTGGAACAGCAATCTTCCACGAGCACGGGTAGATTGTCGATTTCAGTAGTTGAGGTCTTGTATTAAACTCCAATGTTTCCCGGGATTTGAGCACTGAGCTGTGAAATGAAGAGCATAACAGAAACACAGTCATATCCTCAATCACATCATCATCATCATCACCATCATCATCATATCACATCATCATTATCATCATCATCATCATCATCACCACCACCATCATCATCATAATCATCATCATCATCATCAGCATCATCATCAACATCACCATCATCATCATCATTATCATCATCATTATCATCATCATCAGCATCATCATCACCACCACCATCATCATCCTCATCATTATCATCATCATCAGCATCATCATCAACATCACCATCATCATCATCATCATCATCAGCATCATCATCATCATCATCACCACCATCATCAACGTCATATAATTATCATCATCATCATCACCATAATCATCATCATCATCATCGTAGTCGTCCTCGTCATGCTAAACCGTTTTTGGTTACGTACCTTTACAGTGAGACGACAGTTCTAGTGCTATCATGACTGATTATTCAATTCAAAAAGGATGTTCTACCAGACTGCTACAACGTTTATTTTGTATACAAACATCCCCAAGCTCACTTGGATTAATATGATTTTCACATCATCATCAATTCATCATTATCATCATCATCATCATCATCACCACCACCATCATCAACGTCATTATTGTCATCATCATCATCATCATCATCATCATCATCTTTCTCGTCATCATTATAATCATCATCATCATCATCATTATACAGTTCTCTTCATCTAACCGTTTTTAGTTTATACGTACCTTTACAGTAAGACGACAGTTCGAGCGCTATCATGACGCTGATTATACAATTGAAAAAGAATTTTCTACCAGATTGCTAAAACATAAACAGATTGAGAACAAATATTATATCCTGGGACAAAAAGGAATTCAATTTGTTTTTTCAATGGTTTGACCATATAAAATGATTTGATGTTGAATTGATTTATTGATTTCTGCATTCCTCATACAATAATTATCAGTAACAACATGAACATTTTGTACATAGTACATTTTTCAAATCACAATGAATAAAACAATTTATGAAGCAAGATGTTTGGAACGATTGGCATAGTATAATATGCTGAAGATTATGATTACGTACAGCGACAGCAAAATATGGTAATATAAACAGGCAAAAAAACTACAGGAATTAAATGGCAAAAAATGACAAAAATTAAATAGGCATATAACATGCATGAATGGAAAGTTTCATCTTTATTACCACCTTGTACTTGTCATACCTGTTCGTTTGGCTCACTATAGTATATTTACTGTATATATAACTTTATTGTATTACTTGTAAACATGATCAGTTTTGGTCCTTGGACCTTTGAATCATGTATATTTATATGTCTTTTTAAACCGACATCTTTTTGATGAAGTGCCTTTCATATGCAGTTACAATGTGCTGCACATATAGATCCACATGTTTGGCCCACTTCAAAATCAAATATCACTTTAAAAAGGCCAGTGTTCTTCTCGAGCAAATTAAAATTGGACTTCGGAAGGTACTTGAACTGGTCAACATCATTAGTTTTGAAGCAATAGTAGGTAGCAAATTTTAAAACTTTGCAGCAAAAAACGATGATATAATAATAATAATAGTGGGTTCTTGTATAGCGCTCATGTCAGTCAGATTTGACCCTCCTGGCGCTCCCGATTATTACCCTGGCCTTAGCACGGCTGCCATACGGCGCTCTAGCATTTCAAGGAATAAATTCCTACCAGGTACCCATTTACTTCACCTGGGTGGAGTGTGGCAAATGTAGATCAATGTCTTGCCAAAGGACATTAGTGCGGCGGCGGGACTCGAACCGCGGACCTTGTGATCGACAGTCCGGCGACGTATCCACTCGACCACAACACCTCTACATATGCATGGGGAAATACATTTTTCGGATTGTCACTAATTATTTAACCTGCAGTTTCCCTCGAAGACATGTTATACGAGTCGTTGAGTAAGCTATTTCAATGCACGATCCTCAGCATATTCGCTCAAAATATTTTCTCTGAATGTATTTCAATGATCTCACCGGGACCGGCGCGCCGGTATGCAGCGATGCGATCATTTAGTATTCCTCTGTTATCATGATTATAATTATCCACTTGTTGAGCAGGAATGAAAATTAATGGGCAAGGACGTTGGGGAGTTATTTGGGGCATACATTTCTGTAAATAATTTCAGATAATTAAGCAGACACACGATTAAACGTGGTAATATTATTTAGATTCTATTGCCCTCACATTGAGCAGAGAGTTAATAACACAATAACATTTTACCTACCTTATTTGGGGTATTTGCTAAAACGATTCGCATTCTTTTTGTTGTATCCATGATCACTTTCCACTGGCACTGAAACGAACATAGGAGAAACAGACCTATAAGCTGTTCGGTTGGGCGCACACGATCATGAAGACTGAAAGCACAATATACCTTGTCCCAACATCAATGAGAGTTTCAACAATATTTCGGATGGAGAACTAAACACACATTGGCTGCCTGATCAAAGGAAGGCTGTCCAAGGGTCATATCACAAAAACCTCGCGTTGAATGGCATAAAATCATTTGTGTGCACCAGTATGAGTAATCACATAAAAGATCATCATGGCTATATATAAACAGATCTGCACAATATGTTTATACCGAGGATGGTTGCCGTAAACTTGAATGAACGTGATGAGACGATCACTGTAATTTTGCAGCGAATGTGCATGCCCTCAACAATAATTAATGTGGTTCATATCGCAGCTTCCATGGTAACGTAATAGGCAAAGGCAAATTGGTTCTGGTCGCTTAATAGTACATTTTTCTAACGGGTATGCACACAATAACGCCGTTATATTCTTATTAGCATCACCGTTGGTGCTTGCAAACCTATGACTTGCCCTGAGTTCATATTTGTATATTATTGTTAGGCATGAATGGATGACGTCATATAATTTTGAAACGCTCTGATAAGCACGCATTTACAAAACCACTATATCGGCGCAATTAGAAAGTCAGAATACCAAAAAAATAAACTTTGCTCAAAACATATCATTTTATTATGAAAAGAATGCATACATGGTCCAGTCAATATCCTGCAATTGTTGGCATGTGATGTTTGCTGATTGGCTTAATATGCAAGTTCTCGTTATGACATGTAAATTCGAGTGTGAAACTTACGTTACCGAACGATACACTTTTTCAAAAGTTGTGGTAAAAGATATTTCTATTGAATGGTAAGTGTATGTTACTTTTAAAATATGCAACATAGTGCCCGAATTTAATGCAGGTCATCAATTATGTTCATTCAGTTTTATTACGAAATCACTTTGGAAAATCAAAATTTTCAAAACATCAGTATGTACACAGAAATATGATAGACAAAATCACAAATCGTATCTTTTTACTTTAAACAATATATCTTAAAGTCAGAGATATGCTTTTAACATTCATGAAGTCCTTTCATGATCAGTTTTTAATTTCAGTCATTGAGTTTAAGAATGGACACCATGTGATATTTCAATTGTGTCACCAATCGCGGTAACGTAGGTTTCGTAACAGGTAACGTAAAATACATGTTTTCAAAGTCTGACAATATACTGGCGTACATGTACTATCGTATGCATGGAAAAGATTGAAAGAGTAAAATACATTCTCAAAATGATTCAATGAAATAGAAAAACCCTTAATAGTAACACTAAGTGATTTTTAAGTCGATAAATTTAGATCTTAATTGCGTTTGAAATGTTGGCATTCAATAATCCAGTGTTAAAATGTCAACAATATGATTTAGTAAAGTTTGTAAAGATAAGCATGAAAGAAAAACAAAATAAATATATTTAATAAACAGACACACATCCCGCATAAATCTTGAAAACACAAAAGGTTAATTGGCTGGGGGTAAAATCACTATCCGGTATTCAAAGCTCGGTAATGAATCCTGAAACCTACGTTACTGTCATTTGAAACTTACGTTACAATGACATACGTGTATATTTATCAGCCTATGAATTTCGTGATAAACTAAATTCAATCAATTACAATTCAATCAGATTGTTAGTACTACTGGAGTGCTTTAATGTAAAAAAACGGTATAGTTTTCATAAAATATACAACCCTTACAAGGGCTTTCCTATCTCATAGGATTTAAAGAAAATAAATTTGAACTAATCATAAATATTACCTGAAGTGATTAATAGTTTGATCTACAGATCTACATTTATACAGCTAATTATTAACAAAGTTACACCTCTAATAAGGAAAGGAACTCGGTTACTAGCTTATAATAAACATCAATCTACAATTTGCAAAATAAATCTGCCATGTATCATCATTCTATGGAACAACCTCCCTTTTGAAACATACGTTACTACGATTGAAACATACGTTACGTTGCCATTTACTCTTAGTAGTAACTTTTAGGGGATAATAAATCGATGTAACAGTGGTTAAAACTATTGCTTGGTTTTCTAGCACTTCTTAAGAAGCCCTGGCTCATTGATGCACCTAGAATACACTCAAATATTAAGTCGAGTAAAACCCCTACAAATTGTTAATGAAATTAGATATACTGGTCAGCTTCCAATGCAACTAAAGATGAAGGTAGGGCTATCCCGCCATTAACGTCATAGAAAGTGGTTGTTAGGCTTTCTGTTAATGTCCGTAGATGGCTCACACCCGTTGTAATTAAGAATATATCTTTTGAACTCCAAAAAGGTTCAGGCCTACACAAGTAGTAACGTATGTTTCATCACGTATGTTACATGATGGGGGTAATATATGGCTACCGACCAAAAGTTAATCTTTGTAAGTGTGATTTCAAGGACTATCTGACTTCCATTTTACCGCCGCTAACTTAGAGGATGCATTTCAGCAACACTGGTTTGTACATATTACTCTAATCATGGTAACGTATGTTACATCTCTTAAATCGCACGTTTCTATAGAATATATATATTTCGGTTTCTATAATCCATCTTCTACCCATGAATAAAATTGCATGGCTGTCTATTATTATGATATACTCAGTGATTAATATGAATGAAAATAAGGAAAATCATGATGTTGGAAATAGATTAATTCTTGATCTGAAATAAGGTAACGTATGTTTCAATGGATTTGGTGACACATTTCATTTCATTCTCACAAGAAAAAAAAAGAAATTCATCCCAAAAATTTTACTTGAATTTGGCGGAGCTATCAGTTATATTAAAATTAATTGAGTTTCTGGGCCGTGGCCAGTTACCATTTTTTGCAACAAATGGAAATATATGAAATATATGACTTGCGACACGTGGTTTTTCACTGTTACATCACATGTATTTGCTAATTTCTCATTATTTGGCAGGACATGGTCAGTGGAATAACTGTTATTTTCAAGAATGAGCCTCATATATTAAACAGAACGTCATAACTTGATAATTATATGTTTATTTTATTAGTAAGTACAGTAAAAACACGTGCGACATGAATTTTGTGCAATTGCGCCGAGATAGTGGTTTTGAGCCGTGTTTGTATTGCGTTCAAGTTCATTTCTCTCGATTTGAACTATACACAATGCCATCGTGTATGACAGGCTTAAATGTACAGCAAAAGTCCGTGACATGCCCTCGTACATAATATGTCTCAATATGTTAACAAATAATAATAGTGAGAACAAAAAGTAACTTGCAATGTTTTGTGATGAAGGAAAAATCTGGTGGATGTTATTTTGCCTTTTAGGCTATGACAATATCAAACCAGTGGCGGATCCTGGGGGGGGGGGGGGGCGGCTGGGAAAAAAAACTTGTAAAAACACGTGATTTTTAGCTTTTTTGGAGGATGGGCCTCCCTGGCGCTCAAGGGGAGGGGGGGGGGGGTGCAAATTTGCAAATTTTCGAGGGCCAAAAAAAGAAATGTGCTCACTACACTCCCCCCCCCCCTCCCCCCACTGAGCGACTTTTCGGCCGGCGCGAATTTTAAATTTTCGAGAGCAAACAACAACAACAACAACAACAACAACAACAAAAATTAGCTCACTACCCCCCCCCCCCCCCCCCCCCCCCCCTCCACTGAGCGACTTTTCGGCCGGCGCGATTTTCAAATTTTCGGGAGCAACAAAAAACAAAAAAATTGGGCCCCCTTCCCTGAGAAATCCTGGATTCGCGTCTGTATCAAACGATCTCTCTGACTCTGGTAAACGCATATATAGTACATTGTTCTGCATACATTTCATGTAAAAATATAAAATAATTATAAAAACAAATTATAATAGTATGTAAAAGATTATTTGTTAAGGCTTCATTAAACAAACAAAAACCTTTGTGAACTTGACAATAATTAGTTTCATAGTAAAGAGCAAATATTACTCGATCATATGATTGTTTGCAGGCACATCCCTTGTCAGTCGGTGTAGGCTACGTACCATAAACTGACAGATCTATAGGCCCTGCTCAAGACTTAAATAATTGTGGTAAAGAGTGTCAAATTAGAGTCTTTGCTTGCAAACAAAATGTGAAATATCTTGGGGTGTGGTTGGACCAGCACCTTAACTGGAATGAACACATTAAGCATACTTCCAGTAAAATTGCTTCAAGGTTGGCACTATTGAGACGTTTCGGGAAATATATAACAATAGACAGTGCCAAGTTATTAGCAAAATAATGTCTCACCTCCCTGGTATTACAATGGTTTGACTGTTGTTGCACCTCATGGTCAAACTGTAATCAAGGTCTTCGGGATACACTGATTGAGTTGCATAAATAGATGGTTAGGAAAGTTCTCCAAATCAATCTTCCTACCCCAGGTTCAAAGATTTTCTAAAAACTCAAGTGGATGAACATGGGAAAACGTTGGCAATTCCAGAAATGTAAACTTTTGTTTTAAATTGTGAACGGTAATTCCCCCTCATATCTTCAAGATATGTTTACTCAGTCTGCAACAACACATCGTTATAGAAATAGAATATCTTATACTAGTGGATTAGTCATCCCAAAAGTTAAAACTGAAAATGAAAGAAGGACCTTTTCTTTTGAAGGTGCAATTATCTGGAACAATTACCTCTTTAGTAAAACGAGCGTTGAGGGGATCTATCTAATTTCAGGGTAATGATTATTAATGTACCGGTAAACATACACCAATTTCTCACTCTAATCAATCTTTAAACATTCACTAGAATTTAAAAAGCTGCATTTATCACCTCTCAATCTCAAGTTATACTAATTAAGTCAAGTTCAACCATACAAGGTAGTCTTTCATTAAACTACAAAAGAATACAAAAATGTAAAGTTTCACTGAAATTTATAACTGATATTTAATCAATAGACACAAAATCTGTGTACTAAAACATCAACTTGAAAATAACAGGACACACTTCCTGTAGGGATGTGGTATAAAATCAACAACAATCAAACAACTTGTCGCTAAAAAGGAAAAAACAAATATTCTCTTTACCTAAAAGTAAAAAGCTAAAACTGTCCTTTAAAATATGGCTGTATATTAATACAATAGTCAGTGACTACTATTACCTTGATGTTGCACTTTCTTAATGCTAGAAAATATTAATGATATCAGGTTGGTAAAAGAAAAGATGCAAACATACAAAGTATACTGTCTAGGACAATGCTAATGTATATGTACTATTACACAAAAATTTGTGCTTGAAAGCGATAAATAACAAAATCAACCTTGGTTGAGTCTGATACCAGCCTATAATATAAATGGCCGAAGGTTAATGCCTTGAAATAAATTAATGGACACAAACGAATTGTGAACTATATTAGATCTAGAAAGAATCAAGACCTCTAGTTTTCATGCCAAGATTCACACAGTGAACGTACAATTACAAGGGTACGAGATAAGTT